AGAATAGGGTAAGATGTTATCATGAACGGAGATGAAAGGGCTTTTCCAACACGGAGATGTAGCATGGATCAAAGCATTTGTTGGATTTCAGCTTTTACAAGAGGGCATCAACGCAGTAGTATTTTTACAAGCTAACGAACGCATAAAGGATTCTCTCTTGGTGTGACCGGCGGCAATATCGATCAGCAATGCCGCACAGACTTTTGCGCGCCGAAATATGCNATAAAATAATAAAAAAAAATTGCTTATTGGGATGGAGTGTAGACGCATCGTAGAACGTGTTTTCGTTTGAAGTTGGCGTCTTGTTTGAGAGGAGTAGATGTGACAGATTTGCGTAGAATAGGGTAAGATGTTATCATGACCGGAGAAGAAAGAAGGGCTTTTCCAACACGGAGATGTAGCATGGATCAAAGCATTTGTTGTTCAGCTTTTACAAGCGGACATCAACGCAGTAGTATTTTAGCAAGCTTACGAACGCATATAGGATACCATNGGCCCTTGTGGTTGAAGGTGGCAAGGAAGTAGGAACAGGGGGTGGCAGTGTCGGGGGTCTGGGGGAACATGGGCTTGAATGGGGGTTGCCTCAGAAAGAGCAAGACGGCGGATGTTTCTCTCTTGGTGTGACCGGTGGCAATATCGATCAGCAATGCCGCACAGACTTTTGCGCGCCGAAATGTGCGTGCGACAGCTTCAATCTAACCACTTCGGCGGAAAGCGCATTTCTGTTCAACACGGTGTCAGCGGTACCAGGGAAGACGGGGCCGAGTTTTGTTTGATTTCGGGTGGATGAGGTTGGGGTTTTGTTCGTTTTTCTCCATCTAAGGTTCGTGCCTAGAGTTCAGCTGTAGTGTTTCGACCAAAGTTTTGTTGACTTAGAGGCGAACATTCCTAGCTATTGGGCATCGAGTTAATTTGGCTGGGCTTGACGACCTTTACGATCGACTTTTTATGTATGTCTGCATTTATCTGCAATTGTCGGACGGCAAACAAAATAATATTAAATAATCATACCACGAGGATTGTCATTGGTTTTATTTCAAATTGACGAGGAGATATTCTTACGATGTAAGTAAGTGACAGTAGAAATATGTCCTACCTATGTTGTTGTTGTTGTTGTTTTTTTGCCTTCCGACAATTAATTGCAGATGTACCTCAGAAAACTTTCACTTGATGTCTCATGCTCTACATGAATACTAAACCAATACGAAGTCCAACAACATATGTAGAACTTATTGCTACTGTCACTTACATCGTAAAAATATCTCCTCTTCAACTTGAAATAATACCAATCATAATCCTCATGGTATCCTATTTGCGTTCGTAAGCTTGCTAAAACACTACTGCGTTGATGTCCTCTTGTAAAAGCTGAAATCCTTCGTGTTGGTTTAGTATTCATGTAGAGTATGAGACATTATGTGAAAGTTTTCTGAGCTTCATCTGCAATTGCCGGAAGGCAAACAAAATAATAAAAATAATAACTGCAGATGTCAGAAAACTTTCACTTAATATTTCATACTCTACATGAATAATAAACCAATACGAAGTACAACAACATATATATGTAGGACTTATTTCTACTGTCACTTACACGTAATATCTCCTCTTAATTTGAAATATAACCAATGGCATTTATTTTTATTATTATTTTGTTTGCCCTCCGACAATTGCAGATAGATGCAGACATACATAAAAAGTCGATCGTAAGGGCCGTCATGCCAAGCCAAATTAACTGGATGCCCAATAGCTAGGAATGTTTGCCTCTAAGTCAACAAAACTTTGGTTAAAACACTACAGCTGAACTCTAGGCACGAACCTTAGATGGAGAAAAACGAATCCTCATGGTATCCTACATGCGTTCGTAAGGGGACTTCTATTGATATGCAGGCACAGGGGGCACCGTGAGTATCATCGGCGACAATCGGCGACCTCACTTTTCGATTCGGCGGTGCCGCTTCAGATCGGCGTTTTTGCACTATATTTTCGGCGATATTTTTGCTGCTTTTTTCGGCGATTATTTTCTGAAATCGGCGTTTTAGGCGATCGCCGGCGGCGGAAGGGCCTACACGTGGCTGTGCAATACGGACGGATTCAATGACAAGTCATGTCTTCATTTCGCATGAGCACACATGGTGTGTAGGAACGGAAAACATTCACACAGTTAAACCTACTGCAACAAATAGTCTAGACATCCCAGCCGTTAGAGAGGAAAAGTTGTTGTTCTCGGTTGAAGTATGTCCGCCGTGTGCGCAGTGGGAAAAATAATCCAGGCACACAGACTACTCCAAGCACCGTCCGTCTCCACCTCAACCTCACCCTACTCTTCGTCTCCATATTGCATGGCAAGAATACGGGTCAATGGTAGATGTTTGGTGGACACCACTAATGTAGCCTCCGACGTCCTAACGGTTGGCATTTTTTTACTTCAAATGATGCACAAACGAGCAATGAAATACAAGCTAGGAGTTCATAGACAAAGGGTGCCTTGCAACGTGCAGTTGATGCCGCGCGCACGGTACAATGCCTCCAGAATGGCATCAACCCCAAAACCCCTAAATACAATCATATGATATGATCATGTCTCGTTCTCGTCCAAAAAGGCAACTTTTCAAAAAGTACCGGGGTGTCTCATTTCAGCAGTGCCGCTTATTGGACGTCTTGTGCGATCATGGGTGAATGAATAGTCTATGTTTCAGAGGACACCGTGGTCAAATAGACTAGGGTCACGCATGCATACGTTCTGTACGTCGTTGAGGTGTAGAAACAAGTAAACCTGGGATGTAGCACGTGAGCAATCTTTCTTGGTTCTTCGTTGTTCTCCCTCTCGTTGGGGTTCATGCGCCTCGCAATTGCCCCAAAGCGAAAGCTACACCTAATCGTGCCAATCACATCGAACTATCCACATGACGACGACAGCAGCATTAGTTCCCACAGCGTAGGCCTACCGCAAAAAATCTCCGCCATGGGTCAGCGGACAACAACGAACTGTGAGTGGTGTGCTCAAACGGAGTCGTTATTTGTGATGGGCTGCGGGACTTAAACGCGGGGGGGGCGGGTTGAGGTCGGTGTATCATTTGGGATTTTCCCAGTTGGCAACAGCAGCAGCAGCCGCAGTAGCTTGTGACGTGGTGCGCCTACGCGCAACAACATTGAAAATGTTCCCCTCCGACTGCTCCTCACGCTCCTTGTTCCACCACACGGAAGTTTGAGCTCTTCCTGGCGCACACACGAGGTTGTGTACACAGTGTGCAAACCGTACCTGCACTGTTCCTTCTTTACCGTAAAGCGTGAATGAAGCAACTAAGGTTCGACTCTTTGTGTTTCATTCATCATCATCGCCGCGTTGAAAAGTGAGCCGAGTGGTCGGCTGATCTCTTTTCCAAGACACCAATTTAACTACCTGCACGTACACAAGCCGGGTGTGATCGCTGTCTGTACTGCATTTGGTGACGGAGTGCCTTTTTCTTTCCGGAAGCATCCCTTCTGTTGTTGTTGTGAATGGTACTACAGTCGTCGTATCGGCTATACGAGCAGCTGTTGCACACTGGTGGTCCTGAGTCAACACGAAAAGATGAACTGTAGACTAGACTACCTTCAAAACTCTCACTGCCTGTCAACCATCTGTCGGGAACGATCGCGTGCGGCCCTAACACGAACATATATCTAGGATGAATGCTCGAGCGAGGTAAGTAAGTGGTAGGGGTAGGAAGAATTACAGGTGCAGGTACAGGCTGCTTGCTGCCGGTAGCGTGTATGTTGAGATCGTGCTGAGAAGGGCGCTTGATCTTCTTCTTGTTGCTGCCGTTCCGGCGGAGGTGGTGGTGAAGAGAGTGGTGAGGGGGGTGTGAAGTGTGAGCGAGGTACAGCAGCGTGTCTAGATTGCGTCGTTTTCGATTATTCTGTGTTGAAGTCCAACCCCGGATTGGATCTTTTTGCTGTCGAACCGGATCTAATCTGGCGGCCTCAGAATACAGGTACGGGGTTGAGAGTTGATCCGCCTGGCCGGTGAATCTTCTACCGTACTTTAACAATACAATCACATACAAACACAGTGGAGTACACGGGCAAGAAGGGCAGGTCGGCGGGGAAGAAGACGACGGTGGTGACGGACGCGGAGGCCTTGTGGGCCATGCTCTACGCGGACGACGCGGCCATCGTCTCGCGCTCGCCGGAGAGCCTCGAGAAGATGATGTAGGTCATCGTGCGCGTGGCCCGCCTGTTCGGACTGATGGTATCGGAGCCGAAGACAGAGATCATGTGCATGCTGCCGAAAGGGATCGAGGAACGCCCGTTCACGGTCAGCGCCGCCGGCCAGACGTACAAGCAGACAGATCGGTTTGTGTACCTCGGACGTACCATCTCCGCGGACGGGAAGGCCGACCGGGAGATCACGAGCCGCAGCTGCCGAGCGTGGAAGTGCTACCGCNAACGGCGACCGGGCACTGCTGTAGAAGCGAGTAGGGCGGCCGAGGCAGCACTTGTGGCGATTTATGTACCCGGCTGACATTGTTGCGCCCTGTTTCCCTCCCTGCTGTAAGCGATACTCCTTTATGTACGTCCTTTAAATTGCCTTCGGCCTCTGTGTTGTGTTTCGTTTTTTCATATCCTCCCTGCCTACTCTGCTGTGTTGGGTACCTTGATCTCGCTTTTGCTGTTGCTTTTGTTTTAGTTCGTCTGGCTGTCTGCCCATCTGCCGCCTCTTTGTCCTGTTTGCTCCGTCACTCCCATGTCCTGGTGCGTAGTGCCTGGTGCTGGTACGTTACCCTTCGGTTTTTTCTTTGGGCAGGTGTGGGAAGCGTCCTCATTTTTTTTTTTTTTTAATCTGACACGACGAGTCCATCTCTATCATAGAAAAGAGTCAGAGACAGATTAACAATGGAATCATAGCGTCAGAGAAAACTACCTGTATGTCTACGATTTCCCAGACAGTATATAGGGACATCTCCCCTGCGGGTAACAGGCTCAACAAATCAGTTTGGTAGCTGTCTTGTGTGTCTCATATATGTTATGTTGGGAAGGTGCAGACGAGAGGTGTTGGGTACTGTTGGTTAGTCGGGCGTTTTGTGTTCGGCACCCTGTTAGTTGTAGGACATACAGTCTCCATCAGTTTACATACTTATTTTCAGTTTGGTATGCATATGTGCGGAGTATGTGCGGCTGATGTGCGGGCACACGGGAGTGGTGTCACCGTTTATAAAAACTAAAAAAAAATGTGACACAATATGACACAACGAGTCCATCTCTATCATAGAAAAGAGTCA